AAGACAAGAATGTCCATTCTCACCACTTTTATTCAACATGATACTGGAAGTCCTACCCACAGCAATCAGATAAGAAAAAGAAATAAGAGGCATCCAAATTGGTAAGAAAGAAGTAAAACTGTCACTATTTGCAGATGACATGATACTATATACAGAAAATCCTAAAGACTCCACCAAAAAACTACTAGAACTGATAAATGAATTTAGTAAGGTTACAGGATACAAAATCAACGTACAGAAATCCATTGCATTTTTCTACATGAAGCAATAGAAAGAGAAACTGAGAAAGCAATCTCATTTACAATTGTACCAAAATAGTAAAATACCTAAGAACAAACTAAACCAAGATGAAAGACCTGTACCCTGAAAACTATCGATGAAAGAAATTGAAGAAGACACAAACAAATGGAAAGATATTCCATGCTCATGGCTTGGAAGAACAAATATTGTTAAAATGTCTATATTACCTAAAGCAATCTACAGATTTAATGCAATCCATATTAAAATACCAACAGCATTCTTCACAGGGCTAGAAGAAATAATCCTAAAATTTGTGTGGAACCACAAAAAAACCCCAAATAGCCAAAACAATCTTGAAAAAGATCACAATTCCAGATTTCAAGTTATACTACAAACAGACACATAGATCAATAGAACAGGATAGAAAGCCCAGAAACAAACCCATGATTATATGGTCAACTAACCTTTGAAAAAAAGAGGCAAGACTATGCAATGGTGCTGGGAAAACATGACAGCTACATGCAAAAGAATGAAACTGGACCACTTTCTCACACCATACATAAAAAATAAACTTAAAATGGATTAAGGACCTAAATGTGAGACCTAAAACCAAAAGAACTCCTAAAAGAGAGCACAGGCAGCAATTTGTCTGACATTGGCTGAAGCAACATTTTTCTAGATATGTCTCCAGAGGCAAGGGAAATAAAAGCAAAAATAAACTTCTGGGACTACATCAAAATAAAAAGCTTCTGTACAGCAAAGGAAACCATCAACAAAACTAAAAGACAACCTACTAAATGCGAGAAGAAAGATATTTGCAAATGACATATCCAATAAAGGGTTACTATCCAAAATATATAAAAAACTTATACAACTCAACACCTGAAAAACAAATAATCCAATTAAGAAATGGGCAGAAGACATGAACAGACATTTTCCCAAAGATAGCCAGATGGCCAACAAACACATGAAAAAGATGCTCAACATCACTCATCATCAGGTAAATGCAAATCAAAACCACAATGAGATATCACCTCACACCTATCAGAATGTCTAGTACCCCAAAGAAATAACAAGTGTTGGTGAGGATGTGGACAGAAACACTATACATATGCTGTAGATATCATTTCTAAAAATAAAACATTACAGATTAAACTTTCAAGAGGTTTGGTGCTGCATCCTTTACACTTTTACATGTGTATGCACCTATAAACAATATATTGTATTGTTTTTAAAAATTCACTACAATTTGTCTTTTTCATTTGAAATAATGTTTTTGAGACTCATCTGTGCTATATACAAATTTAGTTCATTCCTTTTAACTTTTTGATAGCATTTAGATAAGCAATTAAGTTGCTTAATGAAGTTGCTTGGTATACAGTTAAGTTGCTTCTAGTTTTCAAATATTACAAACAATACTGCAATGAACAGCTTATTCTTATGCATATATGTAAGCATCTCTAGAGTAGGGTCTCTCAGATATTTATGACCCACAGTAAGAAATACATTTTCTTCATGATCCTATATAGGCATACAAATATATTTCTCTACATATGTGTATAAACTGAAACAGTGGCATGAAATTTTACCCTTATGTATGATACACTTGGGTAGTTCCTTTTTTTAAAGATTTTATTGTTTTTACTTATTTATTTTTTAAAGATTTATTTATTTGAGAGAGAGCATGAGCGGGAGAGGGAATCTCAAGCAAACCCAGTGCCAAGCATGGAGCCCAAAGTGGGGCTCGATCCCGCAACCCCAAGATCAAGACCTGAGGCCGAAACAAAGAGTCAGATGCTTAACTGACTGAGACACCCAGGTGCCCCTAAAGACTTTTTTTTTTAAGATTTTATTTATTTGACAGAGAGAGAGAGCAAGCAGAAGCAGGGGAAGCAGCAGAGGGAGAGGGAGAAGCAGGCTGTCCACTGAGCAGGGAGCGGGACTCAGGGCTCGATCCCAGGACACTGGGATCATGACCTAAGCTGAAGGCAGATGCTTAACCAACTGAGCCACACAGGCACCCCATGATTTTATTTTTAAGTAATTCCTACACCCAGAATCGGGCTCAAACTTAACCCTAAAATCAAGAGTAGCACGATCTACTGACTGAGCCAGCCAGGTGCCCCTTGGGTATCTTCTCTACTATTTAATTTAAAAAATGCTAGTTACAACCACTTTAATGATTTTATATCCCACTAAATCTGTAGCTTGGAAAACAATGCTCTAGATATACTTATAAGTACTACTGCTGGAAAGTATGTATGCATGTCCTCATTTACTATGTAATTGTTTGAACATCCCCCTGTCAAATGACTGGTCTGGCTTGGTACGGAATTCTAGTTTTACATTTATTTTCCTTTGTCATTTTAAGCTAATATGCCTCTGTTTTTGTCTTCTTTATTTCTGATGAGAACTGTGTTGTTAATCAATTTTTTTCTGATAGTGTTTGAGATATATTCTTTACCGTAGATACTTTTTAAATTTTCAGCTATTAGCTCTTTGAATGTTGTTCTTTTCTTCTCTCAGATATATTCTGGAGTTTATTATATCTTCCACAGTTTTTAATCTATCTGTAAATTATCTTCCTCAAGTCTTTATCTCTTTTTATTCTGGAAGATCTCTTTCATTTTGCCTTGCAATTCACTAATGCTTTCTCCAGTTATATAAGCTCTACCACTGAGTCCATCTATTTAGTTTTTTTATTTCTATGACCACATGTTTTATTTCCCACATTTCCAAATTGTTTTTTTCATATATACACCTTTACCCCCCCCCAATATCCTTTTCTTATTTCATGGATGTTACTATTTTAATCTCTCTGAACATTTTAAACATATATATTTTAAAGTCTCTTTTCAGGGCACCTAGGTGGCTCAGTTGGTTGAGCAACTGACTCTTGAATTCAGCTTGGGTCATGATCTCAGGGTCGTGATATCGAGCCCCACTTAGTGCAGAGTCTGCTTGTCCCTCTCCCTCATCTTTTGCTTTCTCTCTCTCAAATAAATAAAATCTTTTAAAAAAAATAGTCTCTTTTAATCAGATTCTGTATTTATCTCTAATTCTTCAGGTGTGAATTCTCCCATTTGTTGGGATTCATGCTGCCTTCATGGTCCTAAACATCTCTGTGTGCTTTGACTGAAATCCTACCTTTCTGTGGGGTTTACTCCTGGGTGCTCCTTTATGTTGACTTCTTTCCTCATTGCTCTGGCTGTGACTATGGGTTTCACTGCTCTAAAACCCGTTGTTTTTAATCCCATTCCAGGCTATGTGAGATAATTAACCTATTTCCCAGCCCCTGTAGAGGTCCCTGTTTCTATCCCCTGGAGAATTCAGTGCCCACTCTCTGCCATACATGGGACATGTTTAATTCCCATTCCTATAAGAGTTAAAATCCCTAGCCACAGTGCTTGTGTCCATTTCCAGATCCCAGCAGGTTTCAGCCTTTGCTTTTGTGATTTCTCTTATAATTTCTGACCTATAGATGAAAATATGTATACTGGTGGTACATGTTATATAAAGGTTAGTGTCTACAGTGTTAAAGCAAAAATCATATACAGTTGGGGTGCCTGGGTGGGTTAAGGTCTGACTCTCGATTTTGGCTTTGAGCCCTGCATTGGGCTCCACGCAGGGTTTACAGCCTGCTTGAGATTCTCTCTCTCCCTTTCCCTCTGCCCCTCTCCCTGCTCTCCCTCTCTTTCTCTCCCTCTCAAATAAATCTTTTAAAAAAATCATATATAGTCAAGATTCTTTAAAAAAAAAAAGATCTTATAAACTGACCATTAAGTAAACATTGTCCAACAGTTTTTTTCTCCAGCAGTGAGAGACTGGGCTTGGCCACATGTCAATTATGTTTAGATGCAATGTTAACAAAAACAAAAAACAAAAAACAAAACCCTTATTTTAAAACAATAAAACCTGACACTGTGAGAGATTTCCTCTATGACAGGCCTAAAGGAATGAGCCAAACTGAGGTAACAGCAGATTTATATATGTCCTCTCACACTTCCACTAACTGAGATGGTGAAACTACTGCCTATACTATTTAAATTCTTTCTCTCCTTTTACTTTTGCCCAGTACAGGTAGCTAAATTTGCATTAAATTAAATGTATATAATGCAACTCCACTCTATATATGCCTACATCCTACATGTATCTTACATACCCTTAAAATAAAATTTTCAAATTCTTACTATGGTAGAACATGTTTTTTTTAGTGGAATGCCAATGTTATGGGATTATGAATTATAAGCACCTTTCACTTTATAAAGAAGTAGCAAGGAAATATTTGTAAAAGTAAAACAAGACATATAACATAATGGTAAAGAGCATGGGTTCAAACACTGACTCTTCAATTTGTTTGCCCTACGACCTTAAAATTGGCTTCTCAACTTCCTCATTTGTAACACAGAAGTAATATTACCTACCTCATGGGGTTTTGTGAGGATTAAGTAAAAAAGTATATGTAAAGCACTTGTTACAGTGTCTGGCACTGTTACATGCCTTTAGCTGGACTTGTTGCTATTATGATTATGGTACTAGATTAAAGGAAATACTCATCCTTGGAAGAAATAACTTTCAAATTACTATAATATTTGGCAAAGAGTTTTCTTTTCTATTGCTAGTGAGACAGTGTATCTTTCCATTTTCGATTCTTGGTGAACAGAGTTTAGAGAGACAGACAAACTGATACAATGCAGGACTTCCTGACAAGTACCCCTACATTCAGAAGACTTTTTGAAATGCCATGTTTTTCTACTCACATGTCTATGCAGCCCTCAGAACAGTCACACGAATCAGTAAACATGTTGGTAAAGCTGTTTAGATAATATGCTCGTGGCCACATAGTCCTTCTGTACTTAAACTGTGGAAGCTTTCTATTGTCAATTTCATTACAGAAAGAAATGGGTACCGATTCCACTCCATTGCTAATATCCACATCAGAAACAATTTCTTCTTGTTTTGGGTAATTCCGAGTCAACTGAACATAGGTATTGAAAGAAAAGTTATCTGTAAATAAAAAGTTACACTCTGTCTCAAGCAGGTAACGGAAAACTTCTTCCACATTTCGTAGACTCCTTCCACAAGGGGTTTTATAACTCACATGGAGTGCTGAGGAATGAGAGTTTGTCTTTGCATGTCGTCTTTGGAAGTGGCATTTGATTGGTAGCTGCAGAGGGTTTTCTCCCTTGAAGGTAAGTGGTATTTTCATCAGACAAGTTCGAGAGCAGTCATGACTTCGGTAAGATAGATTCAAAGATGATTTCTTTTCTCTGATGTATGCAACTTTATTTTCCAAAGGAGGAACTTCCTTATTTTTTGTAGATCTGTTTAAAATTAATTATTAATTAGTATCTCAAATTTATACAATTCCCCATTTTTAAAAAACAATGCACACTAAAGAGTTAGTTCCTATTATCTTTTTAGACATCACTAAAACAAGCCAGACTCTGAAATAAACATTTTACTTATCATGTTCTGTAACCATATAAAAGTTATACCTTAAGGGTTTTTTTTCCTCTGGACACCAAATACATGGTGTTTTTTTCCAGCTCCACCTCTTCAACTGGGTGTCCAATAATTCAGTTCAGTTCTGACACTGTCTACCTGGAGTCAGCATCAGTTACCTGAAGTTGAAGGCCTCAGTCCCACAAGATTGTCTCCACTTCAGATGCCAAACACAAGTTCCAGGCCACCTAAACTGACCAACCCAGGGGTTTCCACGTGACCTCCTCAGGTTTGATAATTTGCTAGAAAGATTCACTTTAATTACTATTACCGTAATATTACTATGTTTTAATTACTATTACCAGTTTATAATAAAAGATACAGCTCAGGGGCAGCCAAATGTAAGACGTACATAGAGCAAGGGAAGTGGGAAGGGGCATGGAGTTGGCCTATCCTCTCCATGTGTGCCACCCTCCCAGCACCTCAAAGCCTTTACCAACCAGGAAGCTTACAGAATCCTGTCCACTTAGAGGTTTTTAAGGAGACTTCACTACGTGTGCCCCATTGATTAAATCATTTGCCACTGGAGATTATCTGAATCTCTAGCCCTTCTCCCCTCACTGGAGGCTGGGAGGTAGGACTGAAAGTTTCAAGCTTCTAATGGAGGTTTAATCTTTGGTGACCAGCCTCCACTCTGAAGCTAACTAGGAGCCCATCACCAAGTCATTTCATTAGCATGCCAAAGACACTCATTCTTCAGGAAATTCCAAAGGTATTAGAAGCTAAATGAGGGACCAGAACAAAGACCAAATATTCTTCCTATTATACCACAACCTAATTTCAGAATATCCCAGAAAGCTGTGATTATAGCTGTAATTCTGTGCTACACAGCACCTACCATTTAGAGCATGCACTTTGAGGAATGTTACTTCTTCAAGCATGCTTGGTTCAAAATTCTTGCTTGTAAAAAACAGGAAAGGCTAGCTAAAAAAAAAAAAATAACTAATTCATCAAGACTCCTGCAATAATTGTACCAACTGGATTTCTTCTGTAATGTTTATTCCACCTGGCATCATATTGACAAATATAAAATGATCAGCTGATACAAGAAAATGGAGAGGTTACTGATTTTAAGGGGAAAAAAAAATCTGTGAAAAGATTCCATGTGTATAGAACTCAAGTTTTAATCTTTCATAAAGTACCCAAGTTTTGTTTTACCTAATATTTTCTATCTATCTTTAGGTATCTGTTATTTATTATAAAAGTTACATAGGTATTTTGGAGATATTTTTATGCTCACTATATAAAGCAGCACTATCAATAAGACTTTCTGCATTGATAGAAATGTTCCATGTCTGTGCTGTTCAATTTGGTAGACCCACTAGCCACATGTGGCTATTGAACACTTTAAATGTGGCTAATGTGACTAAAAAACTGAATTTTAAATTTAATTTTGATCAATTCAAACTTAATTTTAATTCAAATAATTCAAATTTAAGTAGTCACATGTAGCTAGTGGCTACTATACTGAATGCACAGATACGAGGTTCTCCATCCTTTTTCCAGCTATATAGCACTCCTCTGCATAAATTCCACAATTTAACTAGTCTTCTACTGTTTCCAATCTTTTGCTATCACAAATCATGATGTGATGAATAACCTGGTGCATAACAATTTCAAGCATGTAGAGATATCACTTCAGAATATGTTTCCAGAAGTGGGAGTACTAGGTCACAGGGTAAATGAATTAGTAATTTTGTTAAGATTGCCAAACTGTTCTCCATGGGGTCAGCCCTTCCAGCAATTTATGAGAGTGCTTGCTTTTGCAGAGCCTCATCAATCAATGGCTCTTGATGTTTTGGAATGTCCTACTATATTTATAAATCTTTTAATGTTGAAAACATTTGTTTCCAATTCTCCTATTGGTTACTACTTTGATGAACATCCTCATACATAAATCCTTGACCAAATTCCTGATTATTTTTCCTGATTATTACCTTAGGATACATTCCTTTAAGACGAATTAGTGGGTAACAAGAATACACATTTTAAAATAACCTCTTATTAATAAAACTTGCAAACTTATACATAACTGTGTATTTTTCTCACTAAAAAAAAACAACTGTTATATTGGATCCCCACGTACTTGTAAGAACTGTAGAACTCTCAGCACACAATGACTCCATCCAAACCTGTGCACTAAGACAACCAAACTCTCTAATAAGGCTTCTAGCAGCATAAGGCCATGTCTCTGGGAGGACCCAAGTCCCCCAATAAAGTGCTGCCTGAGAAAGCTCAAGGCTATCAGAAGAGTTTAAGGTTTCTTCTAGCCAACACCTGAAGATAAGCCCCTCAACCTTTCTTTCTTAGAGCATTTACTAAAAAGGGCTTGCAATTGTGAATCTTTCCTCCATTCCCCAAAGATGTGTATTTAATTCCTACAACTCAGGAGTACCTTTCTCCAGGTCCTGAAGGCCCTTCTCTTGGAAGTTAATCGTCAGGAAGGATAGGGCCTTTGTCTTCCAGTCTCTGTGGGAGGATAAATCCTAACTTTGATGGTTTCCAGCTAGCACACAGAGCTGGCCTCAGAGGCATTCACACTAACTCTTCGTAATTTTTCACTTGGGTTCCCCTCTTCCTCTATCTCTACTCCCCCATTCACCTGTAAAACACCAGCCACCCCAGCACAAGTTGGAATGGAGCTCAGCTTTTTCCCCTACTGTCAGTAGTTACTGAGTAAAATCAGTTTTCATCACTTTAATGTCTGGTTTTATTTATCTTTGACACTTGTTACCAAACTTCAATTATCAACATGTTGCCTGTTTTACTTCTATTCTTCCTCCTCTTGCCCCACACTAGAATATGCTGGAGTATTTTAAAGCAAATCCTAGACATTACCTGAAACAATTCAGTATGTATATCTAACAAACAAGGCTTTTTAAAAAACATACAATCTCAATGACCTATCTTCACATTTTGGTGATTGTTAAATTTGTTTGAATCAGAATTCAGAAAGTCCCACACATTGTATTTGATTCAGATGTCTTTTTGCCTCTAATCTTTTAGCAGTGTCCCCTCCCTCTTCATTTTATGACATTTATTTGTTGAAGTTGAATAAACTGTGTCATTTGTCCTATAGCATTTCCCACATTCCAGTATTTGGTTGATGCTTTCCTTGTGGTGGTATCATTTAACTCATCCTTCTGTCCCTCTATTTGGTAAATCAGTAGTCAGTTCTAGAAGCTCGATTAGATTTAAGTTCTTAGGGGCGCCTGGGTGGCTCAGTCGTTAAGCGTCTGCCTTCGGCTCAGGTCATGATCCCAGGATCCTGGGATCGAGCCCCGCATTGGGCTCCCTGCTCCATGGGAAGCCTGCTTCTCCCTCTCCCGCTCCCCCTGCTTGTGTTCCCTCTCTCGCTGCATCTCTCTCTGTCAAATAAATAAAATCTTTAAAAAAAAAAAAAAAAAAAGATTTAAGTTCTTAGGCTGGGGGGTGGGGGTTGTTCTCTATTTTTCTTTCACTTAATAGTTTTGTGATTCACTCATGATTATTGGCTAGGCCAGTGCTACTCAAGGTGTGGTGGTGTCAGTCCCCAGTGGTTTGCTACCAATTCATAATAAGTACAAAAATATAAAGATGAAAAAGTTTAGAAACTTTTACAGCAATTTAACATTGTTGCAACATCTCATTGCACTTTATAAGTGTATTCCTCAATAAATTTGAAGTTTCAAACAAAACAAAACACCTGTTCTTACCACCATTAGTTTAACAGCACTGGCCTAAGGCCACAGTTTCTTTGGAAATGGGGGGAAGTTGTAAAAATAACAATCTTCCAATTCTACCATTTCTATTGCATTTTCTGGCTGGAATTCTTTGATAAAGAAGAAATTTTCCTCATCAACTCTTGGGTTATCTGAAATACAGTTAATATAGGAAAAGCAGGATAAATGCTTGATTCTCTTTACTAGAATTCAGAATGGTGAGTTGTATCCTAGCAACTACCAAAGTGACTGATTTTTAAAATGTTATCATGAACCCATTTATAGATTTAATGTGTTTAAATCAATCACCGTGATTATTCCTTTAGATGTTCAAATTGTGCCATTTTTAGCCAGTGGGAGCTCCTCCAAGTTTGCTCCTATATCTTTCTAACACACTTGGTAGGCTTTGATGGCTTTCTTGCTTTCTTGTCCCAAGAAGTCCCAGGTCTAGAATCAGCCATTCCTCCAAAGGACTATGGTTCCACTTAATGAGAAATAACATTTAGAGATCACAATCATGGTGCTAGGAGGTACACACATTTTAACCAATACAGACTACCAAACTGCTTTCCAAAAAAGCTGGACCAATTTACACTGTATGAATGTTGATATAATTATTATTTTTAAATTTTTAACCAATTTGATTAATGAAAAAAACCTTATTAGCTCCTTAATGTTTTTCTCTAAGTAATAGAGAGTTTGAACATAATTTCATGTTTACTGGTCTTTTTTTCTTTTTTCCTTTGGTTAACTGTTCATATGCTTTGTCCAATTTCCTACTGGAGGTTTGTTTGTTCATTCACTCATTCATTCTTCCAACAGATTTCCTGAGTGCCTGCTATACACCAGCTGCTATGGAAACAATGATGAAAGCTCCATGATCTCAAGGAGCTTACATTCTAGGCAGACAACTAAGTATCTACAATAAAGTGTAAATAATGTTATGAATAAAGCCATGATACATAATGTCAGGAGAAGACATCTTTATTATTTTTTTTTTATTAGGGCTCTAATTTTATAATTAATTTTTCCATGAGGTGGGAGTCTAATTTCATAATTTATTCTGATGTACCATGAAGATCTAACTTAAATTTTCCAAATGATATCCAATTGTTCCA